CAAAAAAAAAAAAAAAAAAGGAAAGAAAGAAAAAGAAAACACACCCAGAAGAGCCAGGCACAAAGCGGCTCCTCACTGCTGGGGGCTCCCTGTCTTCTCCTGAAATGGTGAGACGCAGGCGTGAGGAGGGCACCAAGCAGATGGGATGAAGTAACAGAAGACTCTTTCCAGAGCTGGGGCAGAACCGTGGCTGAGCTCTTTGGCTCTTTGTTTGAAAAGCCCTGGTCAGTATCATGCCCTATGGCCTGTGGGAGGTGGGTTTTAACCCCATCTGTTCCGGGAGGGCCTCAGCTTCTCCTCTAGGAAAAGACCCACTGTGCCACACAGAGAGGGAACATGGCAAGTAGGGGTGGTCAGGGAGGAGTTCCTGAAGGAGGACAGCTGACTTTAGTATGAGCTGGGCCTGCCCTAAGGGTCTCGGCCAAGGCCTCCTTGAGGTAGAGGGGTTGCCAGAAAGGGAAGCCCAGGATCTAAGGCCCTGGCTGGGGTTTTCCTTCACAAGTAACAACGCAGCTGCCCGTGATGCCTCACCCGTGGCCCTGGGGAGGGCCTGGGAGTGCCAGCTCCTTGGCTTCCTCTTGTTCATCCTGAGCCACATGACCTGCCAGGACTCCCAGACAGATTAACCTGGTCAGAATAACACCCATACTACCTGACCTCAGTCACAGGAGCCCCCAGATAGACTGATGCCATATGATCCCAAGATGGACTGACCCAAGTTGGTGACCCCCAAATAGACTGACCTCAGCCAGCCTGGCTCCCAGCTAACTGTCCCTGTCGAGAGTGGCCCCAGCCTCATACAGATGGCCCCAGACTATCTCATTTCAGCCAGAATGACAACCAGAGTGACTGACTGACCCCAGATCTGCCCACCCCAGCCACAATGACCCCTGACCTCTACCAAATGAGCCCTACAACTGACCCCAGCCAGGGTGACCTCCAAGGAGTCACTCTGGATGGGCTGACTGACCCCATCCAGAGTGATTGCTTTTTCTAGGGGGATAGAGTCTTGTTCTGTTGCCCAGGCTGGAGTGCAGTGGCGTGATCTCAGTTCACTGCAACTTCCACCTCCCAGGTTCAAGCTATTCTTGTGCCTCAGCCTCCCAAGTAGCTGGGAATATAAGTGTGCACCACCATACCCGGCTCATTTTTGTATTTTTAGTAGAGACGGGGTGTCACCATGTTGACCAGGTTGGTCTCAAACTCCTGGCCTCTGGTGATGCGCCCACCTGGGCCTCCCAAAGTGTTGGGATTACAGGCGTGAGCCACTGCATCCAGCCTCAGAGTGATTCCTTAACTGGAATGACTCTCTCTCCCTGACCCATGTCTGCCTCTAGACCTATGTCTCTGGACCAGGCCCAGTTCAAGCCCATAGTGGGTAACATCTCTGAGACCAGGATCCCCAAGGAGAGCCCCACCCTCACCTCTTCCCCTGGTCCCCTGAGATGGACCAGTCGGCTAGGAGCCAGGAGCCCCAAAGCCAAGGCCCAGTTCCTGCTAAACCCAACTCCTGCTGGAGGCCACTAAATCTGACTTTGAGTTCAGAGCAAGAATGGTAGCAAGAAATCCTCCTGGACTCCACTGACACAGACATGGGCACAGATACACACGTATATGTAGCAATACCTCTACGAGGGGCTGTGAATGACCACCATGGCTACCTGTGCCAGTGAGTCCTCGTAGCAACTCAGAA